AAGTTTTTCTCGGTGTTAGGATTCAATAGTGAATTGGACAGTCACAGTCTCTGCCCTCACAGAGCAGAAATTTGTGGTGTTGAAAGAAAGACAACAGATAAAAAATGGAGTCACTTGGTTGCTAAGCTCATGTAACCAGACCAAAACTTAATACTTAACCTAATTGCAGTTTCAACCTCTCCCAGGAAGGTAATCTTAAACCAAAAATCTGGAATTTTCTGGTCAGCACTAGTGAGTTAATTCATCCCACAAACCCCTTCCATTCCCAAAAGAAAAATGAGTTAATCTGCTCTTTCCTTGCCCCTCCCCTCTTATGTGTATAAAAGTCCCCTGCTCTGTTCAGTTCTTCAGGCCTTTCCATCTGCTAGATGGGATGCTGCCTGCAACGTGAATCATTGAATAAAGTCCATTATATCTTTTTTTTAATGATTTTATTTATTTATTTGATAGACAGAGATCACAAGTAGGCAGAGAGGCAGGCAGAGAGAGAGGGGGAAGCAGGCCCCCTGCTGAGCAGAGAGCCCAATGTGGGGCTCGATCTCAGAACCCTGGGATCATGACCTGAGCTGAAGGCAGAGGCTTTAACCCACTGAGCCACCCAAGCGCCCCCCATTATATCTTGAACTTTATTCAGTTGAATTTTGTTTTTTAATAGTGGGAATTGGGTACTTTTTTTTTTTTTTAAGAGATAGCATGATTTTATTGAAATGTTTTAGCACAAGTTTGGGGAATCTTAAAATCCTGTATTCTAAGCCAATGTGAGCACTGTAAATAACATATTCCTGAATTTAGCTGGCATCATATCTAACTGAGTAAAGTTATAATGATAGTAGTACTTATAAACTAATATAATTTAAATTGGAGGCTAAATAATTTTGGCATATTAACATTTCTCTGGTTGACCTTTATGACTAGACATACTCCAAGTCTACCTTCTTTCAACTGAGTTGGACAGGATCAAAATATTTAGTGATCTCACTTAAAAAAGTCTTCACACCACTAGTAGCAAGGAATAGGAGAGTTCTGGCATTAAGATACAGTCAATGTGTATCACACAATTACTTTACCAGGTTACAATGTCATTCTTTCTCAAAAGCCATTTTAAGATTCAACAAAATGCTAGCCTCTGCAACAACTAAAATGATAATTCTAACTTTCATCCAAACTCTGATGCATTAAAATTTGAAGTTTTAAAAACTGTTCTTCAGTGGGGCGCCTAGGTGGCTCTGTTGTTAAGCGTCTGCCTTTGGCTCAGGTCATGATCTCGGGTCCTGGGACCAAGTTCCGCATTGGGCTCTCTCCGCTCAGCAGGAAGCCGGCTTCTCCCTCTCCTGCTCCCCCTGCTTCTGGTCCCTCTCTCGCTGTGTCTCTGTCAAATAAACCAAATCTTTAAAAAAATAGTTGTTCACATTTGTTAATGGCTTAAATAGACTTGATTTTCCACCCACAGCATTTAGATCAAAGAATTTATTCTCTAGAAATTTTAAGATTCGACAGAAGGGTGAGATTGTTGTTGGTTACCAGCCCTCCTCTTTTGGGGCTGAAGAAATCAGTTGGTTGTCTACCAAAGCACACAGAATAAAAATTCACCGAGTCAGGGCATGACTTATGCCAGAGACAGTGAGGTACTTCACTTAGGAGAATGCTGTCCAGAGTCATCTCACAAATAATGACTACTCAGTGAACTCCTCCATGGCACTTTTGGGCCACTTTTTTGAAAATTATCTTACTAGAGCAACTAATGTTTAATTGTTTGTATTTTTTCCACAGGCCTCTCCTACCCACATTTTTCAAGTAGCTGCTTTAGTTAAAATAATCAGTTGCCTTGAGCCTTGCTACTTCAGATTACAAAAAGCAAAAACACAACCAAAATGAACAAATGTTTAAATATGCATTCAGTGGCGCTCATAAAAATTTGCCTTTTTATTTATGTTAAAAGCAAAATAATGATCACCAGACTGGTAAATTTGAGGAGATGTATTTTTGAAGCAATAATGGTTACCCTCTGCAAGGAAGATACCCCACAGGTTAAGGGCTCAATCTCACATGACTGTCTCCTACTAACCCCATTTGATGCCAGTTGCAGGATGTCACTTGTATTTTTGATTGGCTACAAATCAGTTTTTCATAACTCCCTCTGCATGTTTGACATTTGCTAGAACTGCTCACAGAACTTTGGGAAGACTTAGGTTTACCAATTTATTATAATATTATAAAGGATGCAATTCAAAGGAGCCAGGTGTCAAGAGATGCATAGAGCCAGATAGGAGGAAGGAGCATGGAGCTTCCTTATCTTCTCTGGACTTACCACCCTCCCAGCACCTCATCACATGTCCATCAACGTGGAAGCTCTCTGAACTGCTTCAGTTAGGGTTTTCATGGAGGCTTCATTATATGGGTACAATTGATTAAATCACTGGCCATTGGTAATTAACTTGACCTTTGGCCCCTCTCCTGTCCCCAGAGGTCAGAGTTGGTTGGGGAGGGAGGAGCAGATGCTGAAAGTTTCAACTCTCTAATCACAAGGGTCAGTCCCCTTGAAACCAGTTCCTCCTCATCCTGAGTAGCTTTCCAAAAGTTACCTCATTAACATAAATTCAGACATGCTTGAAAAAGGCTTGTTATGAATAACAAAAAATGCTCTTCTGCTGTCTTTCACTCTGAAAATTCAAAATATTTTAGGAGCTGTGTAGCAGGAACTGGGAATGAAGACCAAATATATATTTCTCATTATATCACATAATATTACACACCTGCAAATTCTGTATCCGGCAAAAGTATGTTTCAGGATGAAAATTAGGATAGTAATGCTATAAAAAATGAAGACAGGATCCAAGTATTCGACAAAATTCAACACCATTCATAATAAAAACTCTCAGCAAATTAGGAATAGAGAAAACTACTTCAACTTGATAAACAAGATATAAACAAGCCCCACACATAACATCATACTTAATAGTGAAAGACTGAACATTTTTTTATCTAAGTCTAGGAACAAAGTAAGGATGTGAGCTCTTACCACTCTTACTCAACATAGTACTAGAAATTCTAGCTGCCACAATTAGATAACAGAAATAAAACTGTATTTGTAGATGACATGATTGCCTCTGTAGAAGATCCCAAGGAATCGGATTTTTAATTCCTAAAACAACTGCCTAGAATTAATCAGTGAGTTTACCACGGTCACAGAATCCAACATCAATACAAGAAACCTAATGGCATTTCTAGATGCTAAGACTGAACATACTGAAACCAAACTTAAAAATATAATATTTAAAATCATGCAAAGGAAATTGCAACACTGAGGTATAAACATGCATAGGATCTGTGTGGGAAAAAAAAAAATCACAAAATTCTGATTTAAAAAAGTGTAAGACCAAAAGAAATAAAGACACATATCATGTTCAATGATTTGAAGAGTCAACATTGTAAAGATGTCAAGTCTCCACAATTGGATCTGTAGGTTGACTGCAATTCCTATCCAAATTTTAGCATGGCTTTTTGTAGAAAGAGACAAGCTTATCCTACATTTTATATGGAAAGGCACCAGCCCTAGAATAGTTTTTAAAATCTTGGCAAAGAAGAATAAAGGTTTGTAGCTGTTAAAACCAAATTTATAAAACGGTATATTCAAAGAAGAAAAATATGCTTCTGTGTAACATGTATAAAGACCCCAAAGTCCATTACTTCCAACCTAAGAATGAGAAAAAAGATGATAATCTACAGAGTTTCTAATATATATATATACCTGTAATGAATGAGACAAGAGAAGAAAACTCATCATATTTTCTGAAAACTATAGTCCTAATTTCAACCTGATGCCACAGGCTTTGTTCATTCAAATGGGAGAGAAAAAGCAACGGCTTCAAAGAGAAAAATCAGGAGACTTCTCTTCATTACAGGGACTTCAAACCCAGCACATTCCAAGCTGGGTTCATCAGTGTTCTGTCTATTCAAACCTCTGTCACTTGCTGTGTTTCTCATCTCAATAAATGTCACCACCATCTACCCCAGTCACTTAGGCTGAAACACAGTGTCATCCCAGACTCCTCTCTCTGTATCGCCTGCCTCATCCAATCACTTATCAAAAGCTACCAGTTTTACCTCCCCAAATTTTCTTAAATCAACTCTGTCCTCTTGCTTAATATTAAACACTATGCGAACAATTCCAGCCCTTATCCTGGGATCACCAGGTCTATTGGGATGACTTGTCTGTTTCCCATCTAGCCTACACCTTACAGGCTCCTCATCTTCAGAAAATTACTATCTAACTTAGTTTCTGCTTGAAATCTCTGGAAAGAGGCTGAACTAAAGCAGTTCATTGCCTCCTCAGCCCTCCCTGGCCTGCCTCCTCCTGATCTGATCTCTCCAGCCCCATCTCTTGCTAGTTTGTAACCAAAGAATTCCAAACTGTACTTCTTGCACATCCTATGTGAATACTTTCAAACTGTTTCACTGATAGGAACAGCACTCCCTTCTTTGCTCTGGTAATTCTCTTAATTTACAGACTCGGTTTGGTTAAACTATACTCCTCCAGGGTAGCCTGTGTCCCTCATCTGCACCTCTGTTGCGTCCTGTGACACCTTTATTTTGGCATTTACCCATCGTTTTGGAACTATTCGTCTGTGTGCACACTCCATCCATTGGTTTGAACGCGCTGTCTGCAGCCAGAGGGGCACTCTGCACAGTTGCTGAGCCCGCGAAACACGCTTAGGCCAAGTTGTCTTTTTTTACTCCCACTTACCGCAGCTTTCCCTCCCAGCTGGCTGGTGACACAACAGTACAGGAAAACCAAGGTCAAGGCCAATAGCTCAAGACCCTCCCACATTACTCGCCCCAGTTTTAAGTCATCTGCGCACCCAGGCAGTTCCGACGCGGTGGGTCGGGTGCGGTGCTCTGCCTTTCCCGCTCCCGCAGAGCCCCAGACCTCCTTGGCACGGTTTGGCAGGCTCCCCAGCTCCGGTGCTCAGCGTCTGAGTCTGCGGAGAGGCAGCGGGAGCAGCGCGGGCGACGCGTGATGGGCCCCACTCCGCGCTTCAGGTGACCTTGCCCTCGCAGCGCAGCCGGCAGAGAGCACGCGGTTCCAGGCTCCGCGCGACCCTCGCGCCCAGCGCGGCTGCTGGGTAACCTCCCTGCCTGTTCTCTTAGTCACCCGGTCATCTACAGGAGTTTATTGGCTGGGCCCCCGGGGCATTACGTGCAGCAAGGGCCCCTTTGGACTGGGACTGCCCCTGGGTCCTCCTGTCTGCGGGCGCCGCTCCTTATCCACTCGCCTTTGGAAATTTCGTCCCTCCAGCTCTTCTGCCCACACCTTAGATAGCCCGAGCTCTGCTAAGAGTCTGTCCATTATCCCCGAGAGAAGATCAGCGTGTAGACGCTGACAAAATGCTTCAGGGATCGGACACTGCAGCCTTTCTGAACCTGGTGGATGGAGTGCTCCCACCTCTCATTGAGCCCCTTATCCCTCCTCCACCTTTTCCCAGGACCCCCTTTCCCCAGCTCCCACGTCTGTCTTGTTCCGTTCCTGGCTGTGGGCTTCTAGGGCTGAGTCTATCCTCAGTTTTCTGTCGGGACTGAGGTGGGCTGTGCGGCAGCCATAGGGGACCGTGGTACAGGGGACCTCGGTGGATCCAGGTAAAGCCACAGTCTCTCAGCGCGTTAGGCTTAGCCTGGAGGACCTACCTTGATGTGAGCCTCTTAAAATGCTGAAGTCGCATTTTAATCCTTACAGTTTGACGAGTCCAGTGCCTTCCCCCCACCGATCATTGCTTTTTCTTTCTCTTTTCAGCCGGAGTCTCTCCTGCAAAAGAATCCTGTGCATCTTTTTCCTGCCACTTATCTTAGCAAGTTTTGCTCCCCGAGTGAAAGATAAAGAGGGTCTTATATATGCAAATGCACAGCTACACCCAGCCGGGTAGGTGTTTGCCTGAGTGGGGGGAAGGGGAGGGTTCTCCTTTCTTGGAGAAGACAATAGCAGTGGGATGCTTAGAGCTTGTCCTGCCGCCAGAACTTCTTTTCCACTAAGGCTATGGCGGCCTGTCCTCTCTCTCTCTCTCTCTCTCTCTCTCAGCACGTTTAATTGGTCTCACCTGACCCCCCTCACGCTGAAGGACCGATCTGTGGGACTTGAGACTGTAAGCAGAGTCAGAAGTAAGCCATACTTCACCCTGGGGGGTCACAAGTTCCTGATTTTTGGGGGCTCCATCCACTATTTCCGGGTGCCCAGGGAGTATTGGAGGGACCGCTTGCTGAAGCTGAAGGCCTGTGGCTTCAACACCCTTACCACGTGAGTGCTGGCTCTCTACTCCTCTGTGAACTTGCTACCCTACAGGAACTCCTAACCCCTGCACCCAGGAGCAGGACCTCTGGATTTGGGATCCCTAATCTTTTCTAGCATGTGCCTGATAAGCTTAAGGGTCACACCTCACACTTAATTGGCTGTGGTCACAGCCTTGGATAGGGGTTAATGAGAGAAAGACAGAAGCACTAAGTGATTGCCATAGTAATCTCTCTAAGGAGCGGGTCATTGGGTCCCTTAGGAGCTCTCAGTTTAATGACAAAAGCTCAAAGTATACTTACAAATAAATAAATACATAAGGTGAGTGTGTGCGCGCGCCCATGTGTTTTAAAGATTTTATTAATTTGATAGAGACACAGCGAGAGAGGGAACAGAAGCAGGGCGAGTGGGAGAGGGAGAAGCAGGCTTCCTGCCCAGCAGGGAGCCAGATGTGGGTCAAGATACCAGGACACTGGGATCATGACCTGAGCCAAAGGGAGATGCTTAATGACTGATCCCCCGCACCCCCATAAGGTGTGTGTGTGTGTGTTTTAAGATCTTATTTATTTGACAGAGAGATCACAAGTAGGCAGAGAGGCAGGCAGAAAGTGAGGAGGAAGCAGGCTCCCTGCTGAGCAGAGAGCCCGATGAGGGGCTTGATCCCAGGACCTGAGATCATGACCCCAGCCGAAGGCAGAGGCTTTAACCCACTGAGCCACCTAGGCACCCCATAAGGTGTGTTTTTTAAACGATTTTATTTATTTAAGAGAGAGAGAGAGCGCGCGCGCGCGCGCGCGCGCGCGCGTGCCTGCACAAGCTGGGGGGAGGGGCAGAGGGAGAAGCAGACTCCCCGCTGAGCAGGGAGCCTAACATGGGGCTCCATCTAATCCCAGGACCCTGAATCATGACCTGATCCAAAGGCAGACACTTAACTAAGACACCCAGGCACCCCAGTACATGGTGTTTTAAAAACAATTTTTATTTATGTATATGGAGGTGAGCTTGAAAAGGAATAGTAGTGTCAAAAAAATGAACACATCAAAGGAAATACCAGTATCACTGAAGTTAAATTTAATGGCACTAAGGGAATGAATACTGTAGCTTAATGATTAAGAACATAGGGATGCAGACTCAGACAGACCTGTCTTGGGTCCCAGCTCTGCCTCCAAACATCACATCCCAGGGCCCTGGTGTCCTCATCTATAAATGTGCAAAATAAAAATTGCTTCATAAGTTTGTATTGATGATCAAATGAGATAAAACCTTTGCCTTGTTTATGTGAAAAATGCCTATCCCAATGCGTGGCACGTATATGCATTCAATTATGATGGCAAATAAAGAAATGCAAACCTACTATAGTCAATCATAAGAATTTAAATATAAATGTAACATGATCAAATATGCATTTAACATGATAAATTTAGCATGGTCTTTAACGTGATTAGGTGTATAGTGACAAAGGTAACGTGTATTTAGGGTCTACTGATGGCTGGGCATTTTGTAATCATCTTCACAGAATCAATCTTTACAACTAGCTGTCCTGTGAGATGGCTAGTGTAATTCTCACCGTGCAGGGGGAGAGTAACAGAAGCATAGAGGGCTTTAAACTAGCTTGCTCATTTCATCCACCATCTTCTCAGGGTATGACCATGAAGTTGTGAGTGAGGGTACTGCCAAGGTCACGTACATACAGGTATGGGCTCCTGTCTGTGCACAGATGGTCAGTCAAATGAAAACCAGCTGGAAGCAAAAATCACATTTGAATTAGGAACAGTGGAGATTCCTTCGTAACAAATCGATTTCCAAAAAAGTCCTGAAACTAAAAAAATTGGGAGTCAATAAAAATGGGTTACAGGGTAAGCCTAAAGAAACTATTCCATGGAAGGCAGCACTGTAACAGGTGCACATGAAAGGATGTGAGGTTAACTTCATGGGAATGTGTTTTTGGAGCTGGAGAAAAGGCAGGGGAGCCCACCCTTAGTATAACAATGCTGCCATTGACAGGACACTGAGATCCCAGTCTACATACGTCTACAATGTAAGGTAAGACAACCAGTTTTAGTTATTCAGTGAACATGTCTCTAGCACTTACACTCAGCCAGGCATGTTCTAAACCCTGGAAAATATTAATTCACATTGTCACTGTATCAATAGTGTTATGCCCCAATACTTGGTCCGTGATTAAAGGAGCGAGACTGATATAAAGCGAAGGTCAAGCAAAGCTTTATTTCGCGCCAAGCATCAAGAATCTAACTGAACGTCGTTCGGGGACGAACCTCTTACAAGAGAGGGCGACCCTTCTCTGTTTCACAGACTAGCTTTTAAGGGCAAAGGCCATGTGGCCGGGCCTGGCCACACACAGGTGACCAATGAGATTGTAACACACACAGGAAACTCCACAGTGATGCTGGGTGACTGATTGAGTTACAATTTACCCTAGTAGACGTTTGACCCAGCCTATTACACCTTGATTAGGATTGGCGCCAAAAAGGCTCCCAAAGGGCGGTGGGTGGGGTTGGGGGGGGAGGCCCATACTCCTTGGTAGCTAGGGAGACAGTATGTAACCCCCCACCGATTGATGTCTCTACCTAGCCTGACCCACCCTTGTTTCTGGGCTTTGTTACCTGGAGCTGGTTTCCGGGACTTGTTTTTAAGTGAATCCCCTGGGGGAGGGGGAGCAGGGACAGTTTAAGGGTTAAACAACAAGGTTTTTGTTTAACCTCAATGAAAGCCTCTTGCTAAAATATAAAAATATAAAATAGGTCCTTACAAATAGTATGTGGAGAGTAGTGTAATCACTCTTTTGTAGGTGAGAAAACTCAGGTGGGGAGGGGTTAAGGCAATTGCTTGAAGACTATGTAGTATTAGCAGAGCTGTGCTTTAAATTCAGTCAGGCACCTGGTTCGAGCTGCTAAGCAGCTCAACCGCCTTTCATAATTGTGGACTTCACTTACAGATTGAAGATGACATTCAGAGCGTTTTGCAACCCCGTTTTTGAAGTCTTGTAAACTTAACTCCCCTCTGCAGGGCATTTTATCATTTTATGAGGCAGAACTCATTTTTCTGTTTCTTGATGAGATGTTTGTCACCAGCAGTCAGAAGGGTATGTTGTCTTCATGGTCAAGCTGTGAGATTTTATTAGTAACATCAGGAAAAAGTAAAGGCAGTTCTGAGCAGCTTAAACTTATAATATAGAAGGGGAAGGAGCAGAAAAATGTTAGCAAAACTCTATGGAGCATTTAATGTAATGTTTAACATCTGTAACTATATTAATTATGTTAATTCAAAAAATAGTTGAGTTCTCTTGCCTTTCTGGGATAATACTACATTGGTTGTTCCGGATTATACTTACAATGCTTTCATTATTTAAAAAAACAAGGAACCACCAGATGTCTTCACCCACTTATACCGCAGACTAGAGCTAGCAGGACCATAGAAATGCAAAACCTGCATTGAAATCCGAAGTGACGCCCCTTTCCTCCTGAATGTCTCTCCACTGCCCTCTTGTGGCAAGGCTAAGCACGGTACTCACTACAAAGGACAAAATGCCTCTAAGGGCTGGCCCCATCCACTCCTGCAGAGCTGATATAAAGGCTGTGTTTGAAGCTGGGAAGCCGTAAATTGATAATTGGCTCATTTAATATACAAAGAACTTAATCATAAATAACTGTTGAGTTTTATTGAGAGGCTTTTATACATCTATTGAAAAATTATATAGTTTTTCTTCACTCTATTAAAGTAGTAAATTATATGGACAAATTTTCTGATATTCAACCAATCCACAGCTCTGGGATAAATTCTGTTTGATTATGAGCCATGCACATGTGAATGTGCGCGCGCGCGCACACACACACACACACACACACACACACAGATTGCTAGACTTCATTTATCAGTGTTTTATTTCAGATATATGTTTATGATTATAATTGAAATTGATTTAAAATTGTATTTCTCTTAGTATCTTGTTCAGTTTTGATATGAATCTTATAATAAACTCTTCAAGTGACTATATGTTTTTTCTCTTCTCTCAAACTATCTTGAAAAAGAATTCTCTTTACCCTGAATGTTTCTTAAATTTCACCTGTAAAACCTCTGTGACTACTATCTTTTGTGGTTGTGAGGTGAAGATTCAGCTTTATTGAAAGGCTACTGCTTTTTCTGCTAGAGTATACACTATTTTTATCCTGTAGAACTCTTTTCCTTTTCTTTCTTCTTTTGGATTCACTAGGACTTTTAAAAATTCTCCTTTCTTGGTAGTTGTACATCATATTGTGTATTTGGGACTTTTTTTTTTTTTTGTCTATTCTTTTCAAAGAACTAGCTTGGCTTTATTAATATGCTCTGTATCTTTTTGTTTTCTAGTTTATAATTTCTGAGTTATGTATAATTTCTTTTCTTCTACCTTATTTGATTTAGTACTTTCCTCCCTCTCTTCTTCTCTTCCCCTACTTTCTGCTCTACCTCCCCTTCCCCTCTTCCCCCTCCACTTGCTTCTTTTCTCTTTGTCTCCTGAGTTGAATATTTAGCTCATTTTCTTTCCAGGATTTTGCATTTTCTAATATATTTATTCAGGGATATGAGTGTACCTCTAATTATTGCTTTGGTTACATATCCCATAAATTTTGCTGTGTAATACTTTGAATGTCATTTGGTTTCAAACATTTCAGTTATTTGGGAATATGCTGTATGTTTTATTTATTTATTTTACTTTTTATGCTTTTAAAGCATAATTTTCTAATGTGCCTTTGTCTTGGGATTATGGACTACGTGATGTAAGTTTTTGAGATTTGTTGAGATTTATCTTGTATTTTATGACTGCTGCGTGTGTTTTTAAGAATGTATGTGCTCCACCTTTGGGTACTGAGTTCTCTGTGTATTTCTTAGATCCCCAGCCTTTCATTTGTGTTCTAGTTTTTGCTGTTATTTTCCTTGTTTCCCGGGGAAGTATTTTAAATCTTCCCACGATGACTGTGGATTTATCCCTTTCTTCTCTGGTTCAGTAAATTCCTCCTTTACTTGAAACTATGGTTATAGAGAGCATGTGGTCATGATTACCGTATTTTCTTGATGGATCATTTCCTTTCTTATAATTTGATGCGTTTCAACATCTATTTGTGAGGGATTTTTTTTTTTCGCCGTAAAATTCAGTTTGCCTGCTATGTAAGATTGTTAGAATAATTTTGCCTCATCTATATAATTTTCCATCTTTTTGTTTTCAACTTTTTCCAGCAGTATCCTTTAAAGTAAGTCACTTTTATAAGCATCATTTAGCAATTTTTTTTCATTTTGTTCTCTTAGTGCATAGCTATCAACTTTATCAGGCATATTTAAGTCTTTAGCAAACCAACTCTTCATTCCTCCTCACAAGGAAAGATCTTAAATAGTCAGTTCTACCACAATGCAACATATGGATTTGAAAAGTCTACATTGTACAAAATTGTGTAATAACTATAGAGCTGATGAGAAACATGAAGTTAGAGGCACAATGCTCAAGAACTTTGTTGGTGACACGCACAAAAAAGACAGTCACCTACTAAAAATAGCACCCAATAAAATTTTTACACATATCCTTTTGTCCCTACAGGTTCAGCCCTAAGGGGGAGGTGCCTGGCAGCTTCCTTCTTGCTAAATCTAAAGCTGGCAATTTTCTTTACTACATCTCCTTTATCCTCATAGGAAGTCCTCCTCCATTCCTATTTTAATTAATTCTTAGCAAAAATTTCTTGGGCATTTGAGGGTTTGATCCTTTTCATTATGTGTTTAATGGTATTACATAGAATGGGGTGGTGAGTGGGATAATTTATATATAAATTCAAGGAATGTAGAATCATAGGATTATTGGCAGCTTGGACCAAGGCTGGGTAATAAACAAAGGAACTACTGACAATAATCATTGTTCATGTAATACAGATTTAATTGTCATTGAAACTCTTACTTATTCCAAAATAGAACTATCCGATGTGTTGGCATGGATTTGGGGATGACCTACTAATTTAGAGGAAAGAAATCAGAAGATGTTTATTGTACTTCCCCCTTCCCTATTACAGCTATGTACCATGGAACCTCCATGAGCCAGAAAGAGGCAAATTTGACTTCTCTGGAAACCTGGACCTGGAGTAAGTGCTGTTGCTGCTTCTATGGCCTGGCCTGGGGTGGGGAGGCAGAGAGATGGCTCCTTGTGGTTGATGAGGAACCATGAGGCCATCTTAGTCGGGTACTATGTTCTCAGGACCCACATGCTCTCCATGAGCCTGTTACTCCAAGGGGTCTGGGTCTGCTTCCTCTGAACCCAGACCTCTTCACTGCAGCCCAGAGGTACCAAATCCCCAGTGTCTGCCCTGCTTTGCAGTGTGGTCCAGCCACCTGGGCTGGGACACGGTTTGCCCCTCTATGGTCGCAATGCCATTGGGGTCAGGTTCACTCTTAGGACTCTCCTATACCCTGTCTAATGCCTTTGGTCCTCACGTCCCCAGTGGGGCTATGCAGAAGGTCCTGGGCTGGGACCAGATGAGAACCCAGCTCCCAAGGCCTCTGCAGGGTTGGGGGTGGGGCTGGGCAGCTTCACCACCTTGGGATGCTGGGCTTGTCCCCACCCTCCTCTCTGTGTCTTGAGAGTTGCTGACGCTGACCTTCCTAGGGCCTTTGTGATGTTGGCTGCGGAGACCGGATTGTGGGTAATTCTGCGTCCAGGACCCTATATCTGCAGCGAGATTGACCTCGGGGGCTTGCCCAGGTGAGCAGGGATATGAGTCCAGAGTTGGGGTTGTAGTAAAGTTGTTGGCTTTACTAAACATAAAACTTCAGTCTAATAACAAAAGAGTACATCCTCTGTGTCTTGCACTGTTACGTGCTTTATATACATCATCTCAGGCAATGGTTGCAGTAATATGGTGAGGTGTATGTGCCTTTGTCATCCCCATTATATAGATGACACTTCGTACTGGTGCCCTGGGTGTGTGACTAAGTGTGCAGAGGGAAAAGCATCAGGATTATCATAGCCTTCTTTCCCCACTGGAGGGAGCTATGCCCAACTCTGTCCTGTGATGGGAAGAATGGGAAGGGAAGCTTTAGACAGTGAAGAATGGGCTAGTTCTGACAATGTCTGATTTTTCTCTTATTTTATCAATGGAAGACCAAATTCTCTGTACTAAGAGCCCTCGGATCCCCTGCCTTCCCTCTCATTTTTCTTTGCCTGCTCTCTCATCTGTGATGATTGCCGTCAATGCAAACAACTAAGGTTCAGGGTGAGAATTCAATAATGCTCTTCTGTTACTGTCACAAGCTGACAGGACTGGCCGTTTAGTCCATGGGTCTGCTCCAGGTGAGGTTTTACTTCCCTTTGTCAGGTAAAAGCATTGTTTTTCTCCAAGAAGAGCACCTTTTCCCATCCCAGCTCAGGAACAGAAAATACATAACCTTGAAGGAAGAGGGTACTTCAGAGAAGTAGCAATTCATGGTTAGCTGGAACCCTGTCCAGTACTTTACAGATGATCTGGAGGTGTGCTTCCTGGTTTATGTGCTCCTGCTCTGTGCTGGATGTCTTAGCTCTTAGAGGAAATGCAACCCTCTGCCTAAGGTGTATACACTGTGCTCAAGAAAAATGTTTTTAGTGAATGGAAGAAGAATAGAGGAGAGTATTCAATGAAAGGTTAAATTACCTCTTGTTAAGATGTGGGAGTACAAGTCTTGATAGTAGCTTGTAAAGTGTCATGTGGATGGAGTTGGTATCTTTTCTTCTAAATCTGTGAGAATGGTGCAAAAAGTTGACATGGACATATCCCTTTAGGACCCCTGAGTGCTCCAGGACCATGGACATGAGCTCAAAGGATGTAAAACTGCCAAAGCCCCACCCCACTTACCCTCACCTCTACCTTCCCATCTCAGACACTGAGCTTGTCTCCTTTTGCCCCCAGCTGGCTGCTGCAAGATCCCAAGATGATATTGAGAACAACCTACAAGGGCTTTGTGGGAGCAGTTGATAAGTATTTTGACCACCTGATTTCCAGAGTTGTTCCTCTCCAGGTAAAGCAAATTTCCCGTTCCTTCTTTCCTATCTTTGCTTTAGGAAAATTGTTTTTATGGCATGTTCACAGAATAGACCATGCCCAGTCTCTATGAGAACTGAAGCCGACATTCTTGCAATTTTCAATTCTAGACCCTCGTCTTAAGTACACCCTTTACCCCAAGGTTTCTAGAAAGACACACATCATACAAGAGACTGACAAAGGGTGTTCATTTGTGGTTGTCATTGTTCTGAATGTAATTGATATTCGTTAAGCTTACTGATCTTCATACTGCTTATTTTTACTCTTAAATTATCTTTGTTGTTTTAAATATTTAATACAAGCCCTTGGTGATAAAACTCAAGAGTATTAAAGAGTTTTTGGTGAAATAATTCTTCCCTCTTACCTTGAGCCAAAGCCATTCAATTGCCTTTTCAGAAGATAATCAATTTTGCCAAATTTTTGTGTGTCTTTCCAGAGATTTCATACACATATAGAAGCAAATTATTTATACATACAGTTATTTATACATACATATATATGTGCATTTATGCATACCTTTGCATAAAAAAATACACAATTCCCACTGGACTTTTTTTCATTAAAAATATGTTTTTGAAACCCTTTCTTTTTAATATCTGCATAGTACCCCACAATTTGAATATATCATAATTTATTTAACTAGTACCTCATCATGGAAATTTGATTTTTCAAGTGTATGCTGTGATGCATAACTTGGTTCATATGTCCTTTTGTACCTGTGTGAGTATTTTACTCTTGCTTACATTTCAGTTTGTTTTCGTTTCATAAATGCACAGAGCACAGACACCATGCATTTTCCTTTCTTCATGGAGTCTCCAGATCTATGCAAGGTAACCACAGCATGCAGACCAGTCTGGGATTAAAAAAATATATATATATCCTGCAGTCTACAAGACAACAATTATTCGGTCATTATGCTTGATTTTTAAAGTACAACTCTCTTCCAAACAAGAGGAGACACATGGTTGTTATTTAAATAAAAATAAATCTTGTTTTGAGAGCATATATCTTGATAAAACTTGAGCAAGGATAAAAACCAGTTATTAGGTAGTAGACCAATAGCTTATTATCTTAGACTCTTTTTTGGTGGGGGGGAAATATGATGCAGATCTAACTCTTTGTAAATAATTCTCAATTGTGAATTATGAATTACTCTTAGAATAATTTTAAAGAAAAGCAACTGCAGATTAGGAATGAAAATAAAGGGAAAGATTAGGAATAATGTCTCTGCCATACAGCTTTAGGAGAGATGAGCAATGCTGTGGGGAAGAAGACATCATCATTAGGATTAAACTCTGGGTCTCTTAGGCTGAGTTGAGGTACATCTTTCATTAGAAGGGCTGAAAACCCTATGTTTTCTGGCTGCATTTCTGCCATATAGGTAGTATAAGATGCAGGGGCAAAAATCTCTAATCCTTAAAACTAGAAAGATTTTGAATGTTTGCCTGGAAGTTCAGGCACACGTACAAATGCCACATACCATCAGTACAGATGCAGCAAGCAAAGCGAATTTACAAATTCCCCACTGGAATCATGAGGTAGGAGATCCTAGGAAATTTTTAAGAAGCAAGAAATTTCAAGTGCAAATGAAATTTATAGGACTTATTATTATTAAATTGTTAGTATCTTAAGGTTTTCTATCTGGTTGTCTTCATTGTTTTAAGTATTATATTTAAATAATTTTTAGAGTATCTTTCCTATTTCGCTAGGGACTTTTATTCTTCTAACACTGTTTTATAAGGTCAACTGTGAATTTATGATGCAGTTTTTAGGAATCTCACCCTTCAGGTTGGGGAGAAGATATGGTTCAATAATACAAACAATTTTTCTTAATTCATCAGTGTGGAATACTTATGTTCACTCAGCAAGGAATTAAAAGCAGCTGCTATGTGCCAGGTGCTGTGTAGGAGCTAAGCTTCTAGTGATGAGAAGGACAGACATGGCTCCTGCCCCATGGAGACAAATGGTCACTTCCAATATGAGGAGAAATTGCTGCAGTAGGAGAAGTGCAGGGCACCCCTCATAGGGTAGAAACAGGGGAGAAAAGGAGGTTCAGGGTATGACTTTCCAGAAAAAGTAATTTAAACAGTGACCTGAGGCATGGGCAGGCATTAGCAATGGTCAGGAGTCTCCAGCATGGGTAAAGATCAGAGAGCAAGGAATGGAATGAGGAGTTTGAAGACCGGGAAGAAGTTCAGCTGGTGTGGGGCATAGAAAGTGAGGTAGGAAAGAGGGAAACGGTGAGGCTGTAGAGGAAATCCCACCACACGTGCTCATTCTCTCCTGTCCCACTGTCCAAAAGGGAATACCTCACTCTGCAATTGGCGGTTACCCTATAGGCAATAGGGGGGATGAAGGGTGGGGGATGAAGTGGTCAGGCTGTCAAGAGCTCACCCTGCCTTCAGTATGGAGAGTCTTCTTTCTGCAGTTGAGTGTGGAAGGATGTTGAAAGATTAAGTTGAACATTAAAAACTTACAATTTCAGTATAATTTCAGCTCGGGTACTATTGATGACAGGGGGCACAATAGCATGGGAAGAATTACCATGGTGGTTTGAGGGGCGGAGTCAAAGTGAGAAAGCAAAGCCACCAAACCAAACCAAACAGAATAAAGCATGAATGCAGAGAAAAGTGAGTGTAGACAACCGGTAACTCTTTGAAGACACAGGGCTCTTAAGGAGAGAGCAAGACTCTTTGCCCACCTCTCTGCCTACTTGTGATCTCTGTCAAATATATTAAAAAAAAAAAAAAAAAAAGAGAGAGAGCAAGAGAAATGTGGGTAGAGAAACGGTCCTGGGGTGCATGAGCTCTCCCTCTCTGCTATGCGGGTTCCAAATAAGTTTCCATGATACTGGAAGTCAGTTGGTTTGGAAGGAAAGGTTGAAAGTTGAAGGTAGCGGGAACAGGGCAGAGAGCAGGCAGTAGGAGGCAGGGGGACTCCACACACAAGTGGTGGCATTATCCTAAGGCAGGGGGACGAAGGGTGTTCCTTCTTTCATTTGTTGGGAAAAGTGAATAGGGTGGGCATGCAAGCAGAGGAGTTTGTAGGGTTGAGATTCATATTTAAGCAGATAATTAGTATGAGAAATAGAAGGAAAACTGTGGGAGTTGCTTATCTCCAAAGACTAGGGAAGGCAGGCTTCTGTGCATAGCTGAAGTGCCTGGAGGGGACTGACTCCAGGACCCGGGGGTGGAGAGGGAGCACCAAAGGAACACGAGGTAACTACTTGGATCAAAGCTCACCCACGAGGTGTGTGATCTTAGCAGGAAACTCGGAGACTGCAGGCTTTTTCCACCAGTCACTTCACATTCCCCCTTGATCTCCTTGTCTCTCAGTACCATAAGGGAGGCCCCATCATTGCAGTGCAGGTGGAGAATGAATATGGTTCATTTGCCAAGGATAAAGATTACATGCTTTATGTTCGAAAGGTAAGAGACATTTGGTTTGTTCTCATATTTGCATGCTTCCTTCCTCTGTCACCTTTATAGGCATGCATTTTTGAGGCCCTGCTGCATGGGTGACCCTGTGTTAGGTGCTATGGATGATGAGAATATGTGAAATCAAGTTCAGAGTCTCCGTGAGTCGGCAATGTTGTCAGGATGTACTCAAATAACTTTTTTAGGAGATAAAACATGATGTGGAAAGATGATTCCTTTCTGTTGCTATCCCTGTGACCCATAATTCTCCTTAAATCTGGGGGCTGGTAAATTTACATCCATAGCAAATAATGCTTCATGTATTTAGTGACGATGGCTCTCATCCTGCAGCTTTCTGACCTGTAGTGTTAACATTCTTTCTTCTATTGTCTTTGTTCCTCCATGGGGGGGAATGTCTCAGGCCAGGAAATGACTGGAGTCTTGCCTGGTTGCCTTTCTGATGGGTCAGACCCCTTCCTGTCCCTGATTTCCCACAGTGAAGAAGCTGATGAGTTTCGAGTGTAACATGGACCTCCTCCTCAGGTTGCTGAGCAGAATGTGGGGTTGCATGTTAGTTGTGTCCACACAGAGACCCTTGGGTGGGGTGACCTGGAAAGCAGTGGGGAAGAGTGGGGAGGAGCTGCCAGCTGGGCAAGGAAGAGCGAGTAGGTGACAGAAGGGGAAGGAGGGCAGGGCTGGGCTCCCTGGACATTCTGGCTCCTGCCATACAGCTGTGGCCTCTAGGGCTGGACAAGATCTATGAGGGATTCCCCCTTCTAACTTTTCTCAGGAGCATCATGTTAGACCCCCATCAAATCAATCTCATTCTGTTAGCATTGTGTTTTCTTGATTTCCATATTTACTACTTGACTACCTTGCCAGGCCTAGACATGGCTCAGTGAACATGTAAGACGCACAGATAGGGTCTTCCTGCCTTCTGGCCATCTGTCTGCTCCTCAGCCCTTAGTAAATACAATTTGCAAATTAGATTCCCCCCATTCCCTGAAGCCATGACAGACTTCCTTGCTTCCCTTGAGTATCCAGTTAGGATCCAAGTTTTATAAAGTTTATCTGTGGTCCCCACAGCCTTGGCCTCTTCCCTTCAAGCACAAAGTGCTTCATTTCTCTCTTTCTCTTGGATTTAGAGCCTCCCTCAAGTGCTTCCTCATAAATGTCAACCTTGTGTTTGTTCTCTTGAGGCTGTGTCCATGGCTGGCAGAGCCCGTAACTCAGCTACCTTTGTGGTCATCCTAGGGAACAACATAGGCTGGGACAGAGACCAAGGTTCCCATAATTTACTGAATTGCGGATGGTCAGACTCAAAATTCAAACCTTTCTCTCTAGCTCACACATTGCCCAAGTGAGCCCAAGCTATATTTTTCCCCTAATTTCCTTATGTTTTTTTCTTCTTATGGGAGTAAGGGAAGTAGGTTCATTTTGTCCAGTTTTCTCCACAGGCCCTGCTGAAAAGAGGGATTGTAGAACTGCTCATGACCTCGGATGATGCAGAAAATCTGCTAAAAGGCCGCATAAAAGGAGGTACAAATTTAGACTTATTTTAAGGAAGAACTGAGGCTCTTCACCAGCCAGCTTGAATCTTGAACCAGGTATATCTTGGATTTCTTTTTTTCCCATGTACATTGAAGAGAACTCCAGAAACTTGATACCGAAGAGGACTCAAGGTCCAAGTGAAGAGCTCACAAAAACCCCATCTCTTTCCCTCATTCATGTTGTCTTTAAACAGAGCTGTAATCAAGATCTTATGGCCTCAGTACCCTTTCCGTAATCTTTCCATGGGCCAAGAATCTGGATTGGTGCTGGGCATGGCTTAGAATCCAGGTCTTCTAAGAGAAAACTCTTCCAATGGAGAGCTACATGGAGAATCAGAAGATAACACATGTGACAGGAAACTGGCATAGGCCAAGTTCTAGTCCTGGGATCTTACAGCTGGAGGTCACTGTGGACTCTGAGTGGAGTTCATCCTAAGAGTGAGGTAACAGAACAGTTCAGACCAGAATCATAAGGTAACAATAGTGAGGGAAATGACCAAGGTATTATCAGCAGTCATTTGAATCCAGGGGCATATCTGTTAGGTAGGCCTTATTTCAGACCTGTTACTTCCCTATATTGCTGTTTTCCCTTTCTTTTTGGTGGCTCTTCCACCTCGTTATTATGGTACAGTGAGAAGTATGCTGAACTTGGATCAGGAAACTTGTATTCTGTTCCTAGGTCTAATCAAGTTGTATGATCTTGGCATATTCTACTTCTCTACACAAAATGTGATTAATTTTAACTGCCCTTCTTATCTTGCATTGTCCTTACAAGTGTCCACTGATTTGAGGACATAGATGGTAGCACTTTGTGCTTTGCAAAATGGACTATGAGTAGAGTCCCATTATCCTTCCTCCTTAGCACATCTTCCTTCTGTGTGCAGGGTGTGGGCCTGCAACCATCCCCTGCTGGCACTGGCACAGTACCTCACGCAGCACCTGTTTCTTCTCTCTATAGTTCTGGCCACCATCAACATGAACAAATTTGAGAAGAGTGCTTTTGAGCAGCTTTCCCACCTGCAGGTAAGGATGTCTTAGAGATGAAGAGTCTTTCCTCCTTTGCCTGCCCAAACCTCCTTAGCCTGTGCAGCTGGTGTTCAATAAGAACAGGCCTGGAAAGGAAACCCCTGCTTCCCTGCAACCCCCAGGGCCTCAGCTGGGTTCCAAAGCAATTTGGGGAATTCATGCCTTTTGTCATGGGGAATGAAGAGCAAGTCCTGCTTCTATCACCATTGTTAGTGAAGCAACACATGGAGATGACTAGAGCGAAGGTGAGGGAATTATGTGGGGTAAATCAAAGGGAGATGATGTTCTTTTTCCCCTGCAAGGACAGAGTTCAGAAATGGGCTATATACATTGCTGAGAGAGGACTCATACCTAGCTTTGTTGGAGTTAGCCTATTTTAGCCAGACTGCAAATTATGGGAGTGAATAACTGATGTACATGAATTCACTAACAGCCATGGATTGAGTAGCTCCTATTTCCTCTCAGTGGGTCGTCCCTTGTGATAGTTTCAAAGATGGGAAAATCATAGACCATGCCTTTGGGGATTATATCCTTTCTTCACAGAACAGCTGGATCGAGCTCTTAAAGACAAAACTGATTATGGTTTCCTCTGCTTAACACACTTTCCTGGGTCTCCTTTGTGCCCAGGTTAATATCCAGAGCTGGTGCCAGGGTCTGCAAGGCTCAGCCCGCACTGTTCTTCTCCCTTAGGCAGGAAGGCCTTCTTCAGTACTGCAAAGTATGGGGCGAACTGCTCACTTAGCCAGAACATCCCAAGGTGCTTCCTCAAGTGCCTTACACCCTTCTACACAAGTTTTAATTAAGGAAGAATTAATCTTATTTCCTCTTCTCACTGATTTCTACACATCTGACCTAATAAATGGAAGGGACTCTGCCAGGGCTGGATCCATGGCTATCTAGTTTTTAATGGCTGTAATAAGTCTCTTTTTTATTGTTGTTGGTTCTTTTTCTCTTGTCACTATTTTAAAAAATTTAAATTATTATTATTATCATTACTATTTTATTTAAATTCAGTTAGCCAACATATAGTACATCATCAGTTTTTGATGTAGTGTTCAATGATTCATTAGTTGCATGTAACACACAGTGCTCATCATGTGCCCTCCTTAATGCCCATCTCCCGGTTACCCCATTCCCCCACCCACATGACCTTCCGCAACCTGAGGAAGTTTGTTTTCTCGAGTCCAGAGTCTCTCATGGTTTGTCTCCTTCTCTGATTTCTTCCCATTCAGTTTTCCCTCCCTTACCTCATGATCCTCTGCACTGTTTCTTACATTCCACATTTGAGTGAAACCATATGATAATTGTCTTTCTCTGATTGTCACTTTTTTTAAAAGCAACTTTGTTGAAATATAATTTATTCACTATTATATCTATCTATTGTAAGTATACAATCCAAGATGTAGAGTTTTACAACCACTACCACAATCTAAAGTGTTTCCCCACATTCATTTGTGCTAAATCCCCTGCTCCTATCTGCAGCCTAAGGCAAACACTTGTCTGCTTTCCATCTCTATAAATTTGTTTTTTCTGGACATTTTATATAAATGGAATCATACATGATCTAGTCTTTTGTATCTGGTTTCTTTCATGAAGCTTGATGTTTTTGAAGTTCCTCTGTACTATAGCATAAATCAGTACTTCATTCCTTTTGATGGCCAAGAGGATCACGTTCTTGTATCCTATGTTTAAGGTCATAAACAAAGCCACAGGTCATGCAGTTTTTCTCATATGTCCTTCTTCTTTCATACACTAATATGGTTAAACATGGGTCTTGAAAATTGATCCAGTCTTGGATTCCTGGGACTAATCCTCCTCTGTTGTGATGTATTATATTCCAATGGATTCAATTTGTTCATGTCTTACTGAGAAGTTTGGCTTCCACCTTCATGAGGGGTATTGGTCTTTGGTTTTCTTTCCTTGTGATGTCTTTATTTTAGAATCAGGGCAATGCTGGCCTCATAATGTGAGTTTGGAAATATTCCCTCCTTTTCTATTTTCTGGAAGAGGTTGTATAGAATCCATAGCGTTTCTTACTTAATGTTTGGTAAAATTCACCAGTGAAACCATCTGGACCTGAAGTTTTCTTTTTAAAAAGACTTTTAACTAGAAATTTAATTTCTCTAATAGATGTAGCATAATTTAGATTATTTCTTCTTGAGCAACTTTTGGTAATTTGTGTCTTTTAAGGATTTATTCTGTTCTGTTTCATCTAAGTTTATGACTTCATGGGCACAGAGTTGTCTGTAATATTCTGTTGATATCCTTCTAATCTTAGTTGTCAGTGGTGGTCGCTCTTCTTTCATTCCTGATATTGGTATGTTTGTGTCTCCTTTCCTTTTATTTTTTCTTTTTAAAGATTTTATTTATTTGACAGAGAGAGATCACAAGTAGGCAGAGAGGCAGGCAGAGAGAGAGAGAGAGAGGGAAGCAGGCTCCTTGCTGAGCAGAGAGCCCGATGCGGGGCTCGATCCCAGGACCCCGAGATCATGACCTGAGCCAAAGGCAGAGGCTCAACCCACTGAGCCACCCAGGCGCCCTGTCTCCTCTCTTTTTATCTCAGTCATTGTGACTAAAAGTTTATCATTTTTATTGATCTTTTCAGAGAACTAGCTTTTGGCCTTATTTATTTATTTGCTTTATTTACTTCCTGTTTTCTATTTCAGCGATTTCTTCCCTGCTCTTTAACATTTTTTTATTTTGCTTCCTTTGGACTGAATCAGATCTACGTTTTCTGGATTTTTTTTTTGTTTGTTTGTTCGTTTGTTTGGTGGAAGCTGAGATTACTTACTTGATAATTTTTTCTTTTCTAATATGAGCATTTATGGCTATAAATTTCCCCGAATGCACTGTTTGATATGCTGTATTTTCATTTTCAAAAATGTTTCAAAAAATGTTCAAAACATTTTAAAATTTCCCTTGAGACTTCATCTTTATTCTATGTATCAGTAGTATGTTGCTTAATTTTTGAATCCTTGGAGATTTTCCAGGTATTATTCTGTTGTTGATTTCTAGTTTAATACTGTTAAAATCCAAGAATATACTTTGTATGATTTCTGTTTTACATTTGTTAAGGTTTGTTTTATGACTCATAATATCGTCAGTTTAGTAAATGTTCCATGTACACTTGAGAAGATGTGTATTTTGCATTTGTTTACATATTTCCATTAGCTTAGGTTGATTGATGGTACTGTTTAGGTAATCTCTATTCTTACTGATTTTCTATTTACTTACCGTATCAATTATTAAGAGAAGAGTTTTGATATCTTTAAATATAACTGTGGATTTATTCATTTGTCCTTTCAGATCTATCCATTTTTGTGTTGTGTATTTTGAAGCTCTGTTTTTAGTTATATATACATTTAGAATTGTTATATTTTCTTGGAGAATTCACCCTTTTCTCATCATGTAATGACCATCTTCCTTGTTTTGAAGTCTACTATAAATATAGCTATTCCAGCTTTCTTTTGGTTAGTGGTTTGCATGATGTATTTTTCTTTATCCTTCTACTTTTTATCTTTTTTTTTTTTAAGATTTTATTTATTTATTTGAGAGACAGAGCACAAGTGGGCCAAAGGGGCAGAGGAAGAGGGAGAAGCTGGCTTCCCACTGAGCAGGGAGCCTGATTTGGGGCTTAATCCTAGGACCCTGGGATCCTGACCTGAGCTGTTAACTGACTGAGCCTCCAAGGTGCACTACTTTTTACCTTTCTTTAAGTATTTGTATATAAAGTGGATTTTTATGTAGAGCGGATATATATGTAGACAACATATAATTATGTATTACTTTTTAAAATATTTAATTTGACAGTTTTTGCCTCTTAACTGATATAGTTAGATAATTCACATCTAAAGTGATTCTTGATTTAGTTGGATTAAAATCTAGCATCTTGCTAATTCTTTTTCTGTTTTGAAAAGCACTTGTTATGTTTCTTTTTTCTTCTTTTTTCCCTTTTCTTGAGTTCATTGAGCAATTTTATGATTACATTTTGTCTCCTCTATGGACTAATTACTTTTCTCAGGTTTTAAAGTTTTAGCTGTTGCCCAAGGATTTAAAATACACATGTTAAATTAATCTGAAAGTACTTTCAAATACTGAACTGCTTCACATGTATTATTAATATCTTATAATAATATATTCCTAAATCCTCATTTTAAAGTGCCATTCTATTCTGTTGATTTTTGTTTTGCTTTGTCTTGTTTTGGCTTTCATGGTTTCTGATAAGAAGTCTGTAGTAATTCTTATCTATGGCTTTTTTTTTTTTTTAAAGATTTTTATTTATTTATTTGACAAAGAGAGATCACAAGTAGGCAGAGAGGCAGGCAGAGAGAGAGGAAGGGAAGCAGGCTCCCTGCTGAGCAGAGTGCCCGATGCGGGACTCCATCCCAGGACCCTGAGATCATGACCTGAGCCGAAGGCAGCGGCTTAACCCACTGAGCCACCCAGGCGCCCCTATCTATGGCTTTTGTAGGTGATTTTTTTTTCTGACTGCCATTAGAATTTTCTCATTCTCTTTGGTTTTCAGAAGCTTGAGTATAAGATACTTAGGCATGGTTTGTTTCTTAGAGTTTATCCTGCTTGATGTTCTCACAGATTGGATCTGTGGTTCGGTGTCTGTAATTAACTTTAGAAAATTCTCAGCTGGGACACCTGGGTGGCTCAGTGGGTTAAGCCTCTGCCTTTGGCTCAGGTCATGATTTCAGGGTCCTGGGATCGAGCCCGAATCAGGCTCTCTGCTCAGCAGGGAGCCTGCTTCCCTCTCTCTCTCTCTGCCTGCCTCTCTGCCTACTTGTGATCTCTCTCTGTCAAATAAATAAATAAAATATTAAAAAAAAAAAGAACATTTTCAGCCATTACTTATTCACATATTTCCTTTCTTCTCTCTCTCTTCTTCTGCAGGACTAATTACATGTACATAAGATCATCTGATATTGTCTCACACTGCTTGGATGCTGGTTTTTTTTTCCTATTCTTTTTCTCTTTATTTTTTAGTTCAG